AAAAAGAAGACTGGCAACAGTTGTTAGCTCAGGTGTCACTCTAAAAAAAAAAAAAGCAAATAAAAGGAAGCAAAAGTAGAAAAGAAGGACTGAAAAAATGTACCTAGACAAAGTGAAGTGGATATGATAGTAAAGAATAACTAAATATAGGATTCCTTATATAAGGGGAAAAAACCCATAGGTGGTAATGGTACAAAAAAGACTACTAAAGGTGGAATGAAAAGAAAATCAACCGAGATGATGGTATTCATTAAGAAATTACCCCTAAAGCAAGAAAATAAAATTGTAGCTCAAGAAAACATATGCTGATTAATACCGAGAAACTTACCAAAGGGGGAAGAACAAACATGTTTAATAGTAGATCTTCTGGCTCGAAAAGAAATTAGAAAGTTGTTAAACATATGTACTCAAGTCAAATGACCTCACTGACCTGGAATTGTAGCTCTGCAACAGTAAGGAAGGGACAGATACAAGAAATACTGATGTGACAAAATAACGATCAATAAGAAACAAGAACAAAAATGTACTGATTTAGAGATCAGTAAAACAATAATGTTTTTAACAAAAAATATCATTAGTCAGGATGGGGTCAGAATGATGAGTTGTGTTCATCATCTTACGTGTCAGGTGTCTTTGGAACATTTGGGTGGAAATATCCCCTTTCACATGTTCTCCCAGCAAACCTACGGACCCAGCTATGTCAGCACCCGTTTACTCTGCCTTCCCACCTGTTATAATGGATTATAATCATTATATTGATTCTGTGGTTTTCTCTAAGACCACCCTTTTCATAGTGCACTAGATCCGATCCCTTCTCACCTCTGCCATGGTCAGCTTTTCTCTCTCTCTTAGATTTTCCTCCTCAACAGACAAACATGCTGTAATATCTCTTGTCTTTAAAAAGTCTCCCTGTACTTCACAACCATCCTGTTAAACTCCTCTTTGCAAAAAAAAAAAAAAAAATCCATTACAATTTGCCTATACATCCTCTCCTTCCATTCCCTCTGGACCCACTTGACTAAGATTTCCTTTCCCACTGCTTTACTGAAATAGCCCTTGTCATGGACACCAATGACCTCCATGTGGCCAAATCCAATGGTCATTTTGCAGCACTCACCTTATTTGATTTATCAGCATCATTTGACGTGATCACTCCCTAAGTCTTGAAATAGTTTCTTCACTTGGCTTCTGGGACATTTTCTCTTGATTCTATTTCTACTTAATTGATCATTCTTTCTCAGTCTCCTTTGCTAGTTTTTCCTCCTCTTCCTAACCTCTAGACTAAATGTTTGAGGGCCCAAGTGCTCATTCCTCTGACCTCTGGCCTCTTCTTTATTTGTATCTAGATGATCAATTCATTTTCATGGCTTTAAGGATCAATTATGCATTGAGTATCCCCAAAATCGTATATGCATGCTTGACTTGTACTGTACTGAACACATAGCTAACTTTCTACTCATTATTGCTACTTGGACATGTCATAGGTATCTCAAACTTAACTTATAAAACCTGAACTTCTCCCTGTACCCAATGTTATCAAGCTTACTTCCCCCAGTTATTAAACATTAGTATCATCTACTGACACCTCTCCTTCAGCAAATCCTGTTGGTTTCACCTTCAAAGTATATCTTGAGTCCAACTGCTTCTCACTGCCTTTGGAGCTACCACTCTAGCCCAAGACACCATGATCTCTCACCTGAATTATTGTGATATCCTCTTAATGGTTCTCCCTGATTCTGCCTTATTCTCAATAGTCCATTATTCACACAACATCAGTGATACTTTTTAAACAAGTCAGATTATATCACCCATTTGCTCAAAACATTCCACTCTCATTCACTATAAAATCCAAAGTTCTTCTCATTGTCCACAGGCCCTACAAAATCTGTCCCCCTGCTTCTTCTCTGGCCTCTCCTCCTGTCTTTCTCCCCCTTACTCAATCCTTTCCTGCCATACTAGCCTCTCTGCTCTTCCTAGGATCCTCCCAGTCCACACGTGCTTCAGGACTTTTGCACCTGCTCTTCATTCTATCTGGAACATCATGTCCCCCTACAGCCACATGGCCAGCTCCCTCTCTCATATTCTTCAGGTCTTTGCTCTAGTGTCATCAGAGAGGGCTTCCTTCACCACCTTATAAAAATACAGCACTCCTGTCACTATATTGACCTTACAATCTTCAGAGCACTTATCATCACTTCACATTTCTTTATTTATTGTCTTTCTCATCTAAAAGTGCAGCTTCTATGGGAGCTGGAATCTCATCTGTTTTATTCATTGCTATATCCACAGCACCATTACAGTGTCTGACCTGGAGTCAGTACTCAGTAAGCATCTGTTGAATCAACCTCAGAAAAAGAGACATTGACTTAAGCCTTAAATATGTGAGTTTAACAGGAGAAAAAGTTTACAGAGAAGAAAACTGAGGACAGAACATTAAAACCTTTGAGAGGCTGCAGAAAATAGAATAACCAGAACATAGCAAAGATATCATTAGGTTTGTCTTCCATGACATAGTTCTAGGCCAACTACATACCAAACCCAACATTCTTGTGGGAGAGGAGATGGCACGTATTAAAATAATTGTGTGGGGAGGAAGAGTCATGGGAATATCCAGTTTTTCTGTATATACCAGATCCAAGTAAAGTCAGCTCACCAAAACTAGGAGAGAGAAGGCAGGGGAATGGAGTAAGGCTAGTTACAAAGAAAGGATTTGCGTGATATTGTTAAAAAGAAAGACCTAAGAAGGGAAAACATTTATAATCTTGGGGATAAACAATCTCTATAAAAGCAGAAGTCTATTGACAGAGTCTGAAGAAGAGGTGGTCAGAAGACAAAGCACAGGGATAAAAGGAGAAGGAAACAGAAATAGAAAGGAATCAGGAAAACTTGAGAAGTCAGAGTTTATAAGAAATTGTGTTGATTTCGTTGGTGGAAGAGGAATAGTAAATGTATATTTATATTATGTAAATAAATTTTATTTTTTAAAAATACTCTGCAGATCTAATGAGAAATACTTCAAAAGGGAAAGCAAGTCTCCACAAATGTTTGGTATGAAATCTTCCAATGACTATTTTGTACCTCCAATCCTATCAGTATGATGCATTTTCAGATTCTTTATGCTGCTAAATCCAATGCTATAGCAGTATTAAACAAAATTTAGTTCCAACCTCCAAACTTCCTTCCAATGTATTTACTGGCTGTTTAAATTCAACATCTATGATCTGCTGAAAGTAAAAAATTAGGAAGCAAGCCATCACTCACTCAAAGCCAACAGTTTCCAGGGATTTTCAATATGAGGAATTTGGGGTAGGGGCTAAGATGATTTAGAAGCTGAGTTGTTAACCAAACCACTGCCAACCAACGTGGGTTAGTCATGAAATGAATTAGAAAATCTTCCTGAGCAATGAAAACCATGAAACTGGCAAAAATTCATTTTTAAAGAACCATGAGACAAGCTGGGAGGAAATTCATTTGAACTTTGGCATCAGGAGTTAAGGAAAAAAATTATAGTCAGAGCTGAACTCACCCCAGTGTTACTCTGTATTCTCTTCCTAATTCATGTGGCAAGACAGGGCAAAGGCTGGGCCCATTTCATTGTCATTGCTATCTAAGCACGGAGCTAACCATTTAAAGGGAACATCCAGCTTCTGGGACTCCCCACTAAGTGCTGACTGGAAACAGTGAGCAAGTCATACACACACAGGACTGTACATAAGACACCTACAGCCAAAGAACTAATACTCTCTCCCTTGGGTATTTAGTTTTAAACATTTTGCAAAATCCTAGACATGTCTATGTATATACACAGCAGAACTGAATGAACGAAGTGTTTGGATCTTTTGTCACTTAAGCATATCACTGTAGTTTTACATGAACCTGGAAATTCTGGTTTTGCAGGCTGCTCCTCAGATGATCAAACATGTCAGTATGTCCATCTGGATCTTGGAAAGATCTGCAAAATCTGCGGAGACTACCACATAATTGAATTTTTCCGTATTTCTAAGTAGAGGATAAAATCCCACCCCACCCTTTTTCCCTTTCAAAGAAATGTATTTTTTTAAATCGAATAACTCCTCAGGAGTGTAAAAAGAGCAAGGAAAGGGAAAGAATTTAAATAGTTTATTTGATTTTTCTACTAACAGGGCTGGGCTCTTGTGAGTTTGAGGAAAAAATGATGAGTAGTAATTATGTGTGTGTTTTAGTTATCCATACTATTCCTGTTCCTTGATACAGATGTTTAGTTGGTGATTTATTGAACAAAATGGGGGAAACCAGAAAAGGAATTTATTCAAATTAACTTCTGAGAATTCTCATCCTTTGATCTAGTGACTTGCCCACCGGCTAGAATAAAATTTAGCAAACCCCTCCTTAAATGATCCAGCGTCAGAACAGGGGCAAGACTGCATGTCAAGCCTGACATCTGTGTGCTGTTTCCACAGAACACACTGAAATCAGCGTAGACTGAATCCCCAAGAGATCAAGACATTCCACAGCTAAAGGATATCCCCTCATGACATGAATTTGGCATACCTCTCACACTGAAGTCCCCCAGAGACTTCCAAACCTCATGGAACACAGCCTAGAGTGCGTAAGCGACAAGCAAAATAGCGTGGAGTGTCTATGACCATAATAAACACTTGGTGGATGAATGCCTCACATTCCATTCTTCCGTTCACACACTGGCAGGGCCTGTGTCAGCTGCTTGCAACTGGCTTGACCATTTCCTCTCAAAAGCTGCTCGTTTCAAGAGATGTCCTCTGCTTAAGATCTAACTGAATCCCAGGCAACAGGGTAATACCTGTCTAACTGTAGTGTTGATCAGTTTGTCAAATGGGGAATTTTCTTTCTTATCCCATAACAATTATGAAGACAGGAAGGCAGCAGTTTAATGTAGTGCTAATCTTTAAAATCACGTAGAAGGCTTGTTAAAAATATGGATCCCTGGTACCCAGACTTACTTAATCAAAGTCTTGAAAGAGCCTTTGAATCCACGTACTTACCCCTTGCTCCTCAGTGATGCTGATGATCAGCCAAGTTTGGGGAATCCCGGTCAAATGGAAAGCATGTGGAACACCAGCGGAGAGAGGCTTCATTTCATCTTTCCCTCTGCAGGTGTAGCCTCCCTCGGTCTCTATTTTCTGGTCTGCGAAATGATAAGGCCGACTGCCTCCTTTCTCCCTCATCTCACTGGGATCTTGCGTAGGCCAAAGAGTTACTGACCTTAATTTTCTGACCTGTGGATCAGAGAGGACCGTGGCATGCCCTTCTCGTATTTACCAGGGCTGAGGTGTGCCTCATTTGCCTGCACACAGTGCCCAGTTTGTGTGCTGCCCCTCTGCTCCCAAGTTTCTGGAGTGCCACAGCCTGAGGCAGAGAAAGAACAAGGATTAATGAATCTGGCAAATCTGTGGACAAGCTACTGATGCAGTCTTGCTGGGCCTGCACACTCTTGACCCCCATCCTCCCTCCTGAGTCAACCCTTCCGAGAAAATATTAATTCCTAAGTAATCAGAAGTATGGTATTGTCAGCCACCTGGAGCGGAGAGGGATAAGTTCAGCCTCTTCAGAAAATATTGTAAAAGGAGAGACAGTCAAGACAGTCTTCTTTTCTGTCTGCATTTTGGAGATGTGGTTCATTATTCTAGAAAGCAAAACTTGGTGAAATGAAAATAAGTAATGATGAGTTTTTTCTTTTAGGAATTTTCATGAAAAGTGAATGTGCTATCTTAGGATGAAAAAGATCCCTCATGTCATTCAAGTCCAGATAACACTTTAGAGAGCTCACATGAGAGTATGTAAGTAATCAGTGACAATGACGTGCGGCGTTTTAATGGTTACCTCTCTCTACCACAGTGCCTGCCACAGGGCTGGGCACGTAGTAACTACTCAATAAATACAAGTTGCCTAACTGATCCTTACATCTGTCCACAGAGGTCTTAAGATTTCTTCTAGGAAGAAATAAACCAAACGCACCTTCTTGATAATGCCACTATATTCTGGAAACTGGAGAAAGCTGTTTAAATACCAGGAAACCAGATGCCACCAGAACCTTGCATTTTCTTGGGCTCCTGGATAAGACCCAGAGGGCCATGAGGCCACCATGGATATATTCTCTAATGGAGTATTTATACCTCAGAGACTCCAGCCAGCATGGAGAATATTTATGCGGCAGTAAAAAACTTCAACAGAAAGCTGTTTGGCTCTAATAGTTTCAGGTATTTCTACACATCTCTGCTCACCATATGTCACGTTGAATTATACTGTGTCCAGAGTGTGACAGCAGTAGCCCATAATGGGACTTACGTAATGGAATGGCCTGAGAGAGGGGGTGGAGGAAGTGGCAAGAGAACAGGGGAGGAAGCAGAGGAAAGGGAAGGAAGGGACTTTAAAAAGAAATATTTCTTTTGCATTTGGTTGTCTGGTTTCCAGATTCAGAAGAAAATGAAGAATGTAAAGAGAAATTGATGTGGGCTCACCTGCTTTGTCCAGGTGAGATACTCTGAGTCAGGGCTGCAACACTTAAGAGGTAACACAGTGTAGTGGACCAGAACACAAATTCTTGAGCCATAATTCCTGAGTGCAAATCCCAGCTTTACCATCTACTGGCTCTCAGATCCTGAAACGTTACTTAACCTCCCTCTGCCTCAGTTTCCTTATCTGTGAAATGGGGATGATAATAACAGTACTACTTCAAGGCAGTGAATATAAAAATTAAATGAATTAATATATTTAAGAACTTACTAGTGTAGTAAGTACAACATAAGCGAGACATATGTGTGTATATATTCATATATTTAACATTTACATATACATTTTTATATATTTATACATATATGTACATTTTTAAAATCAAGCATCCATCGTATGCCCAAGAATAGAACACTGCAGCATGGGGCACCAGTCTAGAATCTGATTTTGGTAGGTGTCATTCAAACTATAAATAAAAATTCTTCAAAGAAAAAGTTCTTTCTGAGCTTGGCTATGTAATTTCTCTTGGGGAAAACTGGCAAAACTTTGCAACTATTATTAATAGAGGCTTCAGAATATTTAATGCACTGGTCACTATAACGAGCACTTTACAAGGATTCTCTAATTTCACCTTCACAACAACTCGATGAGGTTGGAACTAGTATGCTCAGTGAACAAAAAGGAATCTGAAGATGAGAGGTGTTAAGTAACCTGCCCCACAGAGCCAGTGAATGATAAAGCTGGGATTTGAACCAAGTCATTTTGACCCTTAACTCAGGGCCCCTCATCTCTCCTTATAAATCTTCAGATATGTGTATTAAAAGTAAGATCGTTGCTATTCTGATATAGCTCAAAGACTAGTAGTATAGTCATGAGTCACTTATTGTTGGGGACACATTCTAAAAAACGTACCTTACCCGATTTTGTCATTGTGTGAATGTCATAGAGGATGCTTACACAAACCTAGATGGTATAGCCTACTACACACCTAGGCTATACGGTACTGATCTTATGGGACCACCGCCATATATGCTGCCCACCATTGACTGAACGTTGTTACACAGCACATGGTGTATTGTATAGTTTAGATCTTAGCTCCCAGAGTGCCCGCATCATGACGGGAACATAGCCCCAGGTAACAAAGTAAAGGAAAAATCCCCTTCCCCTTGATAGGCACACATTTCTCCTGAAAAGCCGAGCCTAACACAGGTGAAATGCTGACACAATGTATACCTGACATTTTTAAGCACTTTGTGCCAAGATACGTAAGACCCCTTACTGTGCTGGTCACTGTGATAAGCACTTTACAAGACTAATTTCAGCCTCATAACAAATGAAGTTGGAACAAGTATCTGCAGTCCATAAGAGATAATAATAAAAGGTAATGTTATTATTGTTATTCCCATGTTACATAAGGGGAAACTGAGACACATAGCTGCTTAGAAATTTATCCAAATAATGGTGGAGCCAGGGTTTGAATCCAGCAGTATGACTCCAGAGTCTATGTTCTGAACTACTGTGCTGTTTCATAAGATATGACCAAACAGCAAAGCCAGCACTGTAGATTAAAAATACCACAGGAGCCATACATTTAAATAAGCAGGGAACTGATCGAGAAGAGGCCAGAAAATTTAAGATGGAAGAATCCTTTGGTAATTCATAAATGGGATCATCAGTTCCTTGCACCCATATTTGTACTTCTGGTTTAGGTGGAAAGGAGGACAATAAAAAGCTTTCACGGAACAAGAGAAGAGTCTAAGTTTGTCTTTCTGGAGTTCATAAACTTTGAACTTGTCATTCAGTGTGAGTCTGAGAAGCAGGCAGAAAAGAACAAAAGCGCCATTGCTAGCTGTTATTATGACAGTGCTTTCAGACTGATTAAGCACTTAACATTGCATACGATGTCAAGTGCAGTTGTACACTGCCCACGATCTCAAGAGAAAACAGAGGAACCTGTAGGGAGCTTCCGTTGCAAAAGCTTTCTGAGTGAGTCTCTCGTTTATACTTTGACCTCCGCAGCCTCCCTCCTGCACTCCCTCTTCCCCTATCCCACACAAAGTCATGTGGATTCCTTAAAATGACTTACATTTCATCAGATATAAACGCTTAAATTCCAGGTTTTCAAATTCAGTTTGCAAAGGAACTTTCCCCTTCCACTCAGCTGTCCCCAGAAACATCACCATCTTGAGCCTCAAGAGAATGTTTTTTTCCCTTTTGTGGGCCTGAACAAAGGCAGGGGCTGCTTAAGCAGTAACATAAGAGCATTTAGGAAAACAACTCTACCAACTAGAGAACATCTTGTTTAGTACTTAACGCTACATGATGAAGACAAACTTTATCTTGGAGTTTGCTGGGTCTACTTTCTCCCCCATTTCCATCTGTTATTTGGCTCTGATACTGACAGCAACTCAGATGGCTAAGTGCTCATCCAGGGCTCTTAGATAAGAGTCCGTCTGTTAGCCCGAGAGTTTTGATCAGTCACTCACAGACTCCATTTCTTTGATGCCTACAAAAGAGTTTCATAGGTTGGTCACAGTTAACATGCAAAGCAGAGCTTTACCTTTTCCAAAAAAGGAATTAAATTACCCTATCTTCCTTCTTCCAGTGGCGTATAAAGGTTCATGTTCTCCAGTACTAGGTCACTATTACCTCTCCCAAAAGTATTTTATCTAAGTTAAATTTCTTTTATGTAATATTTATTTATAGATTTATAGATCTACAATTTTTTTATAGATCATTATGTAGGATACACACATAGAACTAAAAGACTAGTCACCAAAATGTTCACTGTGTGTTCAGTGTGGTTGGTTTTAGATGGTGGGATTATGAGTGATTTTTTAATTCATTTTGTAAGACAATATTTTCTAGACTACCTATCATAGCTACCTCTTACAAGACAAACTAAAAGTCTTTTAAAAATGTAAATTAAATACATAGTCTCTCACATAGTCTATGAAAGATATAAAAATAAACAGAGAAATTAACACATATCCCCATGTCAATTCATGACCTTGATAAATTTGAAAGCCAGGTCAGAAGTAGTCTAAACTTGGTTGAAGCCAACCATTTCCTGCTGTTTTCCTATGAGTGCATGTATCTTAGAGAAGTCATCTAGCTGTGAGTCCTATATGGTAGCCACTAGCCACGTGTAGTCTTTAACATTAGATTTTATTTAATTAAACATAATTAAAATTCAAAATTCAGTTCTTCAGTCGAACAAGCTATACGTCAAGTTCTCAATAGCCACAGGTGGCTAATGGCTAACAACTGGACAACACAGTAACAGTAATCCTGTCATGGCAGAAAGATTTATTAGACAGCACTAGCCTAGAAGCTCAGCTGCTAACTAGGCACAATGTCACCATCAGCCATAAGCAAACCTTCAGAGGGAAGGCCTCCACACATTTGCAGGAAATAAGAGAGCAGGACCTACTTATCCCTGTTTCTCCCCTAAGCTGCATCTGGTCCATAGAGTGACTAGGAGTATCCTCAAGGGACTATGTGAATAGCACAGAGTTAGGCCAAAGACCCCAATCTGAAGAGTCTCTGGGCAGTCATAAAACCCAAAGAGAAAACACAAGAGCCACGGATGTTCCCGTGGAAGTCTAGGCCACCAGCCAATGCCAGATTTCAAATGAACAGCTTAAACACTTGTCAGAGGTGCACAATAGTGGAAGCCCATCCCTATCTCCATGGAACAAAATGCAAACACATTTGCACACATGAGGAATGTAGCATGCAGCTCTGGTGATGTGCATAAGCACGGGACACATAAACATCTTCACTGGTTGCTCCACCACAGAGATGAGAAGAGTAGAACTCTCTGAACTTGGAGGAAACCATACTTTTGACTTAGTAGTTAGGGCTGCTGTTATATTATATCATGTATCCTTGACTTGTCATTTAGATTCTTGCTAAACCAAGTGTGATTGTTGGACCAGCAACATCAGCATCAC